CACTGCTTTTTATCACAGAGTGTGAAATGACACACCATCAGGATTCATAGACATACTAATACTATATGCTCATAACTCTTTGGCATTTTCCTTCTACCATTTTCTTCAGTATTACTTTATAGACTCTTTTTCTAAAAGAGTCATAGACCCTGATACAAGTAGGAGATGTTCGTTCACAGAGAAGTGGTCTCCTGCTGTTCTCTTCATTTCCTTTTTATGTACTATCCAAATGAAAACATTGTCTCCAACCAAACATAATAGTCCCTAAGAATACAGTCATGTTAAACTTATAAAAATGTATCTATACCAAGTAAGTACTTAAACAGGGTACATTAAAAATTTTTTTTAACATTTACTTATTTTTGAGAGAGATTGAGAGAGTGAGTGGGGGAGGAGAAGAGAGAAAGGGGGTTTGGAAACAGGCTCCAGCCTCTGAACTGTCAGCACAGAGCCTGACACAGGGCTTGAACTCAGGGACCAGAAGATCATGACCTGAGCGGAAGTCAGAAGCTTAACTGCCTAAGCCACCAAGGTGGCCCATGAGTACATTTTATTGTATGTAAATTATTCTTTTGTAAGGTTGATGGTAAGACCCGCATCTACTTCAAGTGAGAAATCTGGACGTGCTAGAGTCAGGGGCTAAGGAGAACCTCATGCGGGTTTTCACAAAGATGAGAATGATCGCTTGTGACCCTCCTGGTGGCACTCAGTATTACAAGATTATTTTATTATTAATTAATTTATTATTAATCTTTGATTATTCTTAACAGTAACTGGTAATACAGTCTTCTATCACTATACTCCCCATTGTGCTAGGTCTTACAATTGGCTGACAGTACTCTGCGCTGTGTAAGTATTTGTGATACTCTTTTATATATTATATGTATGCATACATAGCATGTAGACATATGGAGATCGTGCAGCGTCATTGTAAATGTTTTTAGTCTTATTTTGCTTTATACTCCACATCAGTAAGACCAAGGATATTAGGAGGAAAGTATAACTGTTGCTTTTTTTTTTTTTTTTAATGTTATTTCTAGGAGAGAGAGAGAGAGACAGCGTGAGCAGGGGAGGGTCAGGGAGAGAGGGAGTCACAGACTCTGAAACAGGCTCCAGGCTCTGAGCTGGCAGTCAGCACAGAGCCCGACGCGGGGCTCGAACCCACGAACTGCGAGATCATGACCCAAGTGAAAGTCGGACGCTTAACTGACTAAGCCACCCAGGCTCCCCAGAAAATATAACTGTTTCTAAATTCACCAAATCATTTTGATTTTGTGAATCTGGATTGTTATATTAAAATACCTCTGAGTTCTGTGAAAAGGGATTCTGGCTTTCAGTTAAAAGGCTGACATGTCTAAGGTCATGTGAGGTTAGTTTTACTATTTTCTGGAAAACTCTAGGAATGTTAGATTTAAATAATGCTTATTAGTCTCTACAAACCAATCCTAAACAGATTTTTTTTTTCCTAATTTATTAGCACCCTCTGAAGGTAGGAAAATATATTTCCCACAGTGAGAAGTAAGGGCTTTTCTCATTTTCAGATACCCAGAACATTTTCAGCCTCTACCCTACAGCTCTAGCCACAGGACAAATGTAGATAGAAATGTACATACCCACTGGTCTGCACGTCAAAAAGCTATTCTTGGGGTGCCTGGGTGACTCAGTTGTTTGGGCATCCAACTTTGGCTCAGGTCATGTTCTCGCAGTTCGTGGGTTCAAGCCCAATATCAGGCTCTGTGCTGACAGCTCAGAGCCTGGAGCCTGCTTCAGATTCTGTCTCTGTCTCCCCTGCTCATTTTCTTTCTGTCTCTCTCTCTCTCTCAAAATAAAATAAAACATTAAATTTTTTAAAAAAAAGCTATTCTTTCCAGTGAACTCAAGACCGTTATTATACAAAAACACCAACGGGCAAATAAAGACTAACAACCTTTTTTTTTTTTAACTTATTTCTGAGAGGGAGAGAGAGAGAGAGAGAGACAGTGTAAGCACACGAGGGTCAGAGAGAGGGAGACACAGAATCTGAAGCAGGCTCCAGGCTCTGAACTAGCTGTCAGCACAGAGCCTGATGTGGGGCTCGAACTCACGTAATGTGAAGTCATGACCTGAGCTGAAGTCAGAGGCTTAACCGACTGAGCCACCCAGGCGCCCCTAACAACCTATTTTCTATGGTCTCTCAACCGAGAGAATAGATCCCTGTAGAACCATTATATAATAGATCCTCAAAGATCCTTGTCAGACTGTAAAACCAGACTCCATTTACTGCTGCTGATGATGAGAAATAATTCACCACCCAAGGGCAAATCAGAACCAAACTTAGTGTCAGAAACAAAACAAAAGACTTGGAGGGGCGCCTGGGTGGCTTAGTCAGTTAAGCGTCTGACTTTCGCTTGCGTCATGATCTCGCAGTTAGTGGGTTCGAGCCCCGCGTCGGGCTCTGTGCTGACTGCCAGCTCAGAGCCTGGAGCCTGTTTCAGTCTGTGACTCCCTCTCTCTCTGACCCTCCCCTGCTCACGCTGTCTCTCTCTCTCTCCTAGAAATTAAAAAAAAAAAAAAAAAAAGACTTGGAAATAAGAGAAACAGTAAAAAATTACAAAGTTCTCTTGTTACTGGGGGTTTACTATGGGCTCCCAGAAATCATGTACATGGGCTTGAGGTGATCATGAATTGCATATTTCAGGCATCACTGTCCAACTGGTTCTGGAAGGTGAGTCTACCTGAACTTCTCAGTGGGACCTCTATTCTGAAAAGTATAATTTAAGAAAAAAAGATGTGACCTATGAAATTAAGTAGTATGTACAGGGGCCAGTTATTTACTTACCTCATTAAGGAGGGAACCAACAGATGGTTAGCCTGGTTCTGAGAGAATTGGAGAGAGTGAATATTTATTAGTTGTTCCAAGAATGCATGAGTAAGGTTCAAATTTAGATACAAAACTGGTTAATGTCTTGACAGGGCAATAACGCTATAACCTTTGGAGTTTCCCTTTCTACAGGACTAAAATCATTTGCATCTCTACCAGACAAAATTAATATGCAATGTTATTGGACAAGAACCATTTCTGTTATTGTCCTTTTTTTCTAGAAGTTAACATGTTGCAAGACCTAAGCAGCATGACTGACAAGCAATTATTTGCTCATTCAGAATACGGTGTTGGGAGGCCTGCTTTATACCAGACACTGTTCTTGGACTAAGGATACCACACTCTTCTCTGCTCTTGCGGAGATTATATTCACCTGGCCTCCTTGTATGTCCCTTATTCCAGCCTTCACTGCCAGAGAGAGCCTGGCGCTGCCTACAACCTTCCCTTGTGAGCAGTAGAACTATGCCCCAGGCATCTGGCAACGCACAATCACAACATAGGGTGACCAGGACATGCTTACCCTGTATTCCCTTCAAGAGTGTTGGTAAAGGTTAATGTTAATAAAATCAGTGGTGTGGGGGCGCCTGGGTGGCTTAGCGGTTAAGCGTCCGACTTTCGCTTAGGTCATGATCTTGCGGTTCGTGGGTTCGAGCCCCACGTCGGGCTCTGTGCTGACTGCCAGCTCAGAGCCTGGAGCCTGTTTCAGAGTCTGTGACTCCCTCTCTCTCTGACCCTCCCCTGTTCACGCTGTCTCTCTCTCTCCTAAAAATAAATAAAACATTAAAAAAAAAAAATTAAAAAAAAAAAAATCAGTGGTGTAACAGTTTCCTCTTAAATATGCTTTTTAAATACCATTAAAGAGAGTTCGTATCTCTTAATACTAAAAGCTGGCTGTCCCTGTTGCAAATTGACTTTGACCTAGAATCATCCGGTTGTGAGGAAAAGGTTTACTGAAAGAAATACATTTGCCTTCCTGACTCCTCATTTAACCCACTCTTATGTTTTTTTAAGTAAGAATAAAGACACAGCATGGTCATACTTCTGTGTTTGTTGCCTAATACGCATTTTGTATTTGGCATCTTCTCCTCATTTATCATTCTTGCATATTATTGATTTTTGGATTTTCTACATATAGATGAAGTAGTGCTCTGGCTAGACATTATCTTAAATAAATTTGGGTGTGTGTTTTTGTTTGTGGATCCCAGATCATGTGTTCTGCTTTGGGGGAATGTATTACAGGCCTGCTTTCTGTAATGGACCAGTCATTGTCCATTTACTGGAGTGCATCCTCCCATTAGTGGTTTTGTCATATAAAGCGTAATTGAATGTACTCTATTGAAATTCTGTAGCAAAATAACTTAATCCAGTTATTTTGGTATTTGTGGAGTGCTTGGATCTATCAGCTCCTATTCTTTTTAGCAGCTTGGATCTCTCCGTAAACTTTAGCATGTTTTATTTTTCCCAGCGTTCAAGAAAATGTCTACATTCTGTGAAGGTAATCTGACCATAGAGTTTTGTTCTATTTAAGTCTGAGCCAAATATTTATGTGCTGTATCATTTGGTGGGTAAATTTAAAGAATGCGTCTATGGGAAATACAAAAAGTATTCATCATAAAGATTTGTTTTTTAAAACATTAAAATGTGTATGTTGGTTATCTACAAATTACAGATGAACATTTTTGCACTTAGAAAATCTTGGTGTTTTATTTCAGCTATTTAAGAGTGAAATCTGTGTCTTCTACAATTGAATAAACAGTTTAAATTATAGACTTAATGTAGTGAATATTTTTTACATTTATTTTGAAATGTCTTTCATTTGAAGTATTTGGTTAAAAACAATGTAAATAAAATGTATATAATTGGCATTCTCACTGGGGAAAGGAATGTGTTCTGGGCAGGTCAACAGTCTTAACTGCTGTGCTTTTGAATTCCTATTTTCTGTAGTGGGGTGTTTACATCACAGCGTCAGTTACAGAATAACATGAGTATAAGAAAACAAGTTGTATTTGTTTCACAGTCCTTGGCATATGACTGAAATTGGATACAGTCAAAATATTTAGATTATCTTCTTATCTTGTTTGTCATTGAGGAAGAAGACTGCAAAGTCAGTTAACCTTTCTCTCAAATTCTGCATTTTCAGAGACAAGGAACTGTTCCACCTCCAATGAAACTGCCCCCTCCTTATAAAACTCCGTCTGATGACAGTGATGAAAATGAAGAATATGCCTTTACAGACAGTGAGTTCCTTTTCCTTCTTTGCAGTGAATGCAGAATTTATTAAATTGTGCTTTAGTGATGATTGTCAATTATCAGTACCATTCTGTGGGTTCTTAGAGAATGTGTATTAGCATATCATGCTGAGAAAGAAAATATACGTCTCCTTAACTTTTGTGACTTAATTTACTAAACTTTGCTCCTTTAGTACTAATACAATATTAGAGTGAATGTCAAAGGCAATGGGCTATACAGTATTTTATCTACATTTCCTCCTAGTGTTACTATTTGGTTGTGAATGCAGAAATGCTAAGAAGTCCTTGCACTTGCACTTTGACCCACAGTAAGCAGAGTTGGAAGTGATGCCAGCTCTCGATTACTTGCTCTATACAAACAGATGGTGATGCTGCTAATGCAAAATTACAGAAGGTCCTATTTTCTCCTTTAGAATTCCTTTCATGATTTTCTTTGCATTAAGCTGTATCAAATATACATTCATGCATATATTTAATGGAGGCTTTATTTATAAGAATTTGCATTTCTTTTATGAATGTAAACTATATATAGTTAGATCTGATTGCTACTGTACATGGAATTTCCTTTGGGGAGGGTGATGAAAATACCCTCAAATTAGATCGTGATGATGGTTGCACATTTTGTGAATTTAGTAAAACCCACAGGATTATATATTTAAATGGGTGAATTTTATGGTTTGTGAAATATGTATTTGTATGTTCTTTTAAAAACAACCTTGTTCCTTCTACGATTTAAAAAAGGAGTTTGATAGAGAAATCAAAAGCGTTAAAATTCTGACTGTAGGACTTCTTAGTGCATGACCTTCAGCATGCCCTCTTCTATATAAATCATGGTTCTTCACAGGGTTGGGGTGAAGATTAAAATAAGGTGATAAAGCCTTTGGCCTGCTAAATAGTGAAATTTAAACAAGTATTATAGCTCTTACTAATAATTATTGTTAAGTTGATTTTGTAATGATATTTTTCTAAATACTGTAGTAAGTATATAAATTAAATATAAATAGGTATGTTTATAGTCATTTAGTTGGCTTTATAAAAAATTGATTTGTGCTTGTGGTTTTAAAGAGCCCTATCTCATGCATTATTTCTTCATTTATTCCACAAAACTTAGTTAAAAGCCAACCACTTTTTATGAACAGTGTTGAGTCTGTTATGAAATAAATAAAACATAGCTCATTTTTCTTGTTGGGGTCACCAACCTGGAAGGGAGAATAAAGGCACTGGAACAAAATGTGACGAGTGGGCTGTAGTGTCTTGGTTCTCAGCCTCGTTTGGAGAGTTACACATAGTGGATATGATTGCTTTGTGTATGCACATGTGTACCTGAATCTCTGGTTCTGATGTAGGCATTAGGACAGTGGTGGCAGGGTGGACATATTTGTTGGTTACTCATAATTTCTAGGATGCTAGAAGGCCCATATTTGCAGAGCTGTTAGGAAATACTGGTTTCGGCATGTGAAGACAATGTTCTAATCCTAGTTCTATTTGTGAATTCAGGGGCATGGCTCACACTTGCTCATCTGTAAGTGGGGGAAGGGAGTCTTATGATAACCTTCCTCCTAGCGTTGTTAGCATCTGAGGAGAAAAGCATTTAAAGAGCTTAGTATAAGGATGTGATATCTAGTAAAATAAAAGTTTCAAAAAATATTACTTACCTTTATAACATATGAAGAACTTGATTCTTTTTTTTTTTAAGTTAATTTATTTAGAGAAAGAGAGAGAGGGAACATGAGCAGAGGAGGGCCAGATAAAAGAGAGAGAGAGAGAGAAGGAATCCCAAGCAGGCTCTGCATTGTCAGCTCAGAGCCCGATGTGGGACTGAACTCAGGAAGTGTGAAATCGTGACCTGAGCCACAATCAAGAGTTCGTCCTTTAACCCACTGAGCCACCCAGGCACCCTGTATTTCGTTTTTTAAAATGTTATTTGCAACTCAGTTAATTTCTTGACTAATTAATAAGTTGCATCCTGTAGTATGGAAAACACTAATCTAGAACTCTGGTTTTCAAAAATCAGAGTGTATCAGAAGCACCTAAAGAGCTTGTTAAAAGCACTAGCTGCTGGGCCCACGCCCAGTTTCTGATTCCTTACATCTGGGAGGACTTGCTAATTTGCATTCCTAATTATTTCCCAAGTGATGGTGATACTTCTCAGCCAGGGACCATATACTGAAAACTGTTGATCTAAGTGATGTCTTAAGTAATGGGAGCTGGTGAGCTTACTTGGGAGTGCTGTGTAGACAGCAGCAGGAGGAGAACCGAACATGGGCCTCATGAGCCAGCAAAGGAGCATCCTAGCACACTAGCATTTCCAGGAGATTATGGAGTTAGGCAGTTTAAGAGAAGAACATATTTCAAGAAGGGCTCTGTCACTGAATGTCAGTGGCCAAATATGGAATAATGCTGAGAGTTTATGGAGGTTAGAATCATGGAAATAACCATTGAACTTAGCAACATAAAATTGTTAGGAAAAAGAGTACTTGATAAAATATTGTACAGCTTGTTGTGAGAATTAGATGTGACAATATAAATATTATGGTACCTAATAGGTATTTATATCATAGATCCCTTATCTTGGCATAGTTGAACATAGTTCATGACATTCTGGTGTCTTATTATAAGAAGCCTCCTAACCATCAAAAGTGGTTCATTGAATGAAAAGTGCTGAACTTTTAAGAATTATGAAACAATTACATTTTAAGACACAGTATCCACATAAATGCTTAGCTAGTGAAAAACTACCATTATCAAACGCACAGGATTTATCCAAGGGAAGTTACCAATATAGAGAACTTACAACTTAACTTTATGGTAATTGTCTTAAATACCTAAATTTAAAACTAGATTGTCTTTTCAAAGGTTTCAGATCACTGAAGACATGAAGTGTCACTCAGTTGACTAACACATGGGGACTTTCTAGGTTTTTTTTAATGTTTTATTTATTTCAGAGAGAGAGAGAGTGTGAGCAGGGGAAGGTCAGAGAATCTAGATACAGAATCCGAAACAGACTCCAGGCTCTGAGCTGGCTGTCAGCACAGAGCCCATCGTGGGGCTCGAACCCAAGAACCATGAGATCATGACCTGAGGCGAAGCCGGACGCTTAACTGACTGAGCCACCCAGGCTCCCCAACATGGGGACTTTCAAAGCTTCGTTTTTAGCCATAACCTCTTTCATGTCCTGACTTGTTTTCAATTGACTGTTGGAAAGATATGATGTCTTTTTTTTCCACTTGCGCTTTAACTCTTCTGTGCAAAACAAAATGTTTCTTCCTGAAGGCTGACCTTTTTCCTTATATTCTCAATTTTTTGTAAAGCCCTTACTCCAGACTGAAACTTCACTTCTGTTTATGATCTCACTTCCTTAATTCATCTTCATTATCAATCTCTCCTACATTTGTAGCTTCCTTTGCATTTTACTTGCCACAATTTTAGTAACTATATAGTTGTAGTCACAATTTATTGAGTAACTACTATGCATCATACATTTTCCCCAGTTCTTTAAATGCTTTCTCATTTGATTTACAGAAGAGCCTTTGGAAGGAGATCTTGTCTTTTGTGCTCATTTCAGCTTAATTTCACCTCCTTAGGGAAACCTTGCCTCATTCCTCATTTTAATATCCATTCTTGTATTTTTTTATAACACTCAACAAAATGTGATTAGTTATGTGATTATTAGTTTAATATCTGTCTTTTCCTTCAAGTTCCAGAAGTCAAGTGATCCTCTCTGTTTGGACCTGGCACATTATAGAAACCCTGTATTTTGGGCAAATTAATGACAGAGGACATGGGACTAGCATAGTGATTCTCGGGGTGTGATGAAAATGTAGGTGCGCTCATAGTGCTTTAGAGATACCCCTTCTACTGAGCTGTACCATCTGTCTAGTTTCAGAGCCTTCTGTCCAGAACAGCTTGCCTTCTCTTGCCCAAAATGCCATGCCTCGCCTTACCTAAAAGGATTGATCCCCACAGAGAGAAGCTACTATGTCAAAAAAGTCTCACTTTTGGTCCAAGACGTTAAACGCTTTTATGTCACCAGTCTTTCGAACCTGCTGCTATTCATTATTTCAACTATATGTTTAAACATTAAGGAGCAGAAGGTTTTTGAATGACTTTTTGTGACCTATAAGAGCATGATCATAGAGAAGCAATAATCCTACAATAGATATGTCTCTTGATGGATATTATGTTCTAGAAACTCAGAATATAATTGACTTCTCTGACACTTGGCTTTTAAATGGTATAGCAGAGATGAATGGAACTGCATGCTGAAGGCCTCTTAAAGCCCTTTTTTTTTTTTAATACTTTCAGAATAGACACTCTCCTTAGGTGCTTTGTTTTTCACCCTCAATTTTTTTTTTCACAGAAAAGACCTGGTTTAATTGGTATATCTTTTGCTCTGATTCCTTCCCCACACTCATAAAATTATATGTTCTAATATATTATTTGGTACAAAGAATTTATTTTGGTTAAAGTTTAGCGAGGGATGCCAGGGGCGCCTGGGTGGCTCAGTTAGTTAAGCATCCACCTTCGTTCAGCTCAGGTCATGATCTCATGGTTCGTGGGTTCAAGCCCCACATTGGGCTCTGTGCTGACAGCTCAGAGTCTGGAGCCTGCTTCAGATTGTGTGTCTCCCTCTCTCTCTGCCCTTCCCTGGCCCGTGCTCTGTCTCTCCCTCTCTCAGAAATAAACAAACATTAAAAAAAAAGTTTTTTAAGTTTAGAGGGGATGGATTTTTAGAAAATTATGGCTTTGGGGCACCTGCCTGGCTCAGTTGAAGGAGCATGTAACTCTTAACCTTGGGGACATAAGTTTGAGCCACAGGTTAGGTATAGAGATTTCTTAAATAAAATTTAAAGAAAAAGAAAACAGCTTCATTGAGATAATCCACATTACTATATAACTCATTTAATGTATTTACAGAGTTCTTCAACCATCACTACTATCAATTTTAGAAAAGTTAGAATATTTTAATCACCCCTCAAAATAGTCCC